TTGCAACAATTCATCTCTTGCATGTTTAAAATGAGTATAGAGAGAAGTACATGCTGTATGTGCTTGCAATTCTGAACATAAACGTTTGATAGTTTTAGTCCCGTTGTTGAAGGAGTCCATTTCGGTCCAATATGGATGAAGATCATAGTAAACAATCATTTTCCATTCCGCCGTTGCTACTTTCATCAAACCAATGGATTCAACGTATATTCCTAAGTTATTGTCGAAACGTGTTACATTCACTGAATTCCCTAATACCAATGGCAGGAATAATAGAGATAATAACATTGTGCACAGTAATGAATTAGACATTGGCCGTGAATACTTTTTAGGTGGCTCGTCTTGATCTGCGCCTTCGTGTGGTGTTTTCGAATTCGCTTTTGTAAAACTTTTTGAAAGTTGTTCATCAGAAGCAAGAGATTGTTCATCGGATGGAAACAGAGGCGCTAGTCTTGTCAAAGGACGTCTTAGAGTTCCTGATGCCATTCTAACATCAACCACGCGAACTAGACCGTCAACTCCCTTATATACCTTTGCAATACGTCCAAGCGGCCATTTTAATGTAGGAACATTATCTTCCTTGATGATTACAAGAGTACCTTCTTTTATATTTGGATTGGCTGCTTTCCATTTGTGTCGACATTGTAGTTCAGTGAGGTACTCGGTTTTCCAACGTTCCCAAAAGTCCAATTTGAGGCGAGAGACTAATTTCCATCTTGTCACCAAATTTATATTTCCTGATTGGGCCTTTGCATCTGCCATTGCTGTGAGTGGTTCTCCGATTAAGAAATGACCAGGTGTTAGTGCTGACAAGTCATTCGGATTACTTGACATAGGTGTCAATGGTCGAGAGTTCAGTATTGCTTCGACTTCTAGTACCACAGTCTCTAGTTCCTCATATGTTAGTGACGTGGTCTTAGTACTTCGTATCAATAGGTGTTTTGCTGATTTGACTGCTGCTTCCCACAGTCCACCGAAGTGTGGTGCACGAGGAGGTATAAATTTAAATGTTATTCCTCTTTCATTACATTCGTTAATTATCTTCTCTTGTGCCTTACTTGTTTGAATTGAGTCTGCAAGTTCAAGTAATTGATTACTTGCTCCGACGAAATTTGTGGCATTGTCACAAAACAAATTTTTACAGTGTCCTCTTCGAGCAACAAAACGTTTCAGCGATCCGATGAATGCATCTGTGGTTAAATCGCTGACTACTTCGAGATGAACTGCCTTAGTTGTAAAACAACAGTACACAGCAATGTATGCCTTGTGTGGTTTCTTGCCTCGGATTCTGTAATGTATCCAAAAAGGTCCGCAAAAGTCCACGCCAGTGGTGAGGAATGGTCGCCCAGGTTGTACTCTTGTCGCTGGCAAATTACCCATCAGTTGTTCATAAAATCGTGGTCTTACTTTAGTACAACGTACACAATGTTGTACTACTGACCTTGCCATCAATTTGCCCTTAATTGGCCAGTATCGTTGACGCATGTTAGCTAGGAGAGACTGCGGACCACAGTGCATGTATTTCTTATGGACTTGTTCCATTATTAATTTGACAATGGGGTCGTTATAAGGCAACAACATAGGATGTTTGGCGTCATACGATAATGAGGCTGCATCCAACCGTCCACCAACTCTTATGATGCCTGTATTATCAATAAAAGGTGCCAGTGATGCCAATGCACTGGACTTATTTATTCTTCCATCAGATTTCATAATTTTGATTTCATTTTTAAATTCTGCATATTGAATGCTTTTGATGATGACCTGATGTGCTGCATCTAGATCATCTGGAGTCAAAAAATTGCTTGAATGATCATTTTGTTTTCTTCTGATTCTTTTTACGAATCTTAAAGTATACGATAATATCCGTTGAAGTCTTCCAAATGAGTTGTTGTGTCTTATTGAATATATGAACTCTCCAGGATTTGCTGTGCCTTCAACAACAGACAATGTAGATACTTGAGTTTCCTTCTTCCGTTCAGGATCAATGAGGGTTTCGGATTTTAATGCTGATGATGGTTTTGAAGGCCACAGTTCTTCCCGACCATGCAGGAACATAGGTCCATAAAACCACATACTTGATGACTGTAGTTTATGGGGTGCAAGGCCTCTTGATAAAATGTCAGCTGGATTGTGTTCCGAACTGACGTGGCGCCACTGACTTGTGGCTGTTAATTGATGAATGTTGCTTACTCGGTTTGCAACGAAAGTGTGAAACTTTGATGATGGAGAGTTGATCCATGATATCACTATTTGTGAATCACACCAAAAGAACGTCTGGTAATTTCTTATTTGTAGATCGTTCTTTATTCTTTTTGCTAGTTCTGCGCCAACTACAGCTGCACAAAGTTCGAGACGAGGTAATGTCAACCTTTTCAAAGGTGCAACTCGAGATTTGGCGCACAATAGTCGTACAATAATTTGACCATTCTGAAGTGTTGATCGCATATACGCTGCAGCACCATATGCCTTTTCTGATGCATCTGTAAAGATGTGTAATTGAATGTTGGCAGGAACTTCACCCTTGAAAATATGACGAGATATCTGCAGACAATTTACTTTCGTCAAATTGTTCCGGAACTCTAACCACTGTTTATGTAATTCAGTCGGCAGTTTTTCATCCCAATCCATCTTTAAATTCCATAATTCTTGAATAAAGATCTTTGCCATCACCACAACTGGTGACAAAAGTCCTAGTGGATCAAATAGCCTTGCTAAATCTGAGGTTGCACTGCGCTTCGTCGTGCTGCAAACAGGTTCCAATTTAACCTTGACGCATAAACTATCAGATTTTGGACACCAGGATAACGCAAGAGTTTTTGTTGTATCGTTATTATTTTCTAAATCTAAATTGACTTCTAAGTCATCGTGTGGAATTCCTTGTAGTAGACTTGGATGATTTGCGCACCATTTTCGCAATTTAAAACCGCTTGCTGTCAGTATTTTGTTTAATTGACTCTGAGTTTCCAACAATGTTCTCAGACTATCTGCCCCGTGTAAACAGTCATCTACATAGAAGTTTTGTTTGAGAGCAGATGCACCTAATGGATAATTTTGCATATTGTCATCAGCTAAAACTTGCAAACATTTGGTTGCTAGATACGGTGCTGATCTAGTACCATATGTTACTGTGTTGAGTTCAAAGTACTTTATAGGTTGACTTGGTTCATTTCTCCAAACGATAAGCTGACATTGTCTGTCTTCTGGATGTACAAGTATTTGTCGGTACATCTTTTCAATGTCTGTTGTAAACACATAACGAGGAAGACGGAATCGTAATAAAATAGACAGTAATTCACTTTGAACAGTTGGTCCGGTGTGTAGTAAATCATTGAGAGATTGCCCTGATGTTGTTTTGGATGATGCATCAAATACCACACGTAACTTGGTGGTGGTACTATCAGGTTTAAGCACACAATGGTGTGGTATAAAGTAATGTGGTGACATAATCCTTTCAATATCTATTTCGGTCATATGTCCCAATTTTTCATATTCATCTAAAAACTCTACGTATTGTCGTTTGAGGTGACTATCCTTTGAAAGTCTACGCTCTAGTGCTAGAAATCTATTTGTAGCAATGTCTTTCGAATCTCCCAAAGCGAATCTGTCATTTATAAAAGGAAGACGAACGATGAATCGTCCCGTAACATTCTGATATGTAGTTTGAGTGAATTGAGCTTCACATTGTTGTTCTGCTATTGACAAGACCTTTGAGTGAGTATCAACTTCTTCAACCTTCCAGAGTTGTTCTATTGCATTTTCTAAACTATCTTCTGATGCTATTCCACATGTTGCAATCATTGTGTTAGCATTTTGGATTTTTCCAGATACGATCCATCCGAGCACAGTGTTCTGTAGAATTGGTAGTTCCCTTGAAAGTTGTATTTGACCAGGACTTAGGAGTTGATGATAAAATTCTGCTCCAAGCAACATATCAATTTTGTCAGACTTATAGAATGTAGGATCTGCTAATTGGATGTTATTGGGCAGATTCCAATTTGAAATTTGTAAGTGTTGCGATGGTTGATTGGATACAATTTTTGGCAACACAAATGCTTCAAGTATTGTTTTGTAATCGGTCACTTTTGATTGCACAGAAAGTGTTGTACGACTTTTTGAACTCAATTTACCTATCCCTATGCCTTCGATGCAAATCGAACTGGAGCTTACTTGCAGCCCCAATCTGGATGCCAATCGTTCAGTCACAATATTTATTTGTGAACCTGAATCCAGTACTGCTCTGCACTCGACTGTTCTTCCATTAGAGTTGGAGGCTAAAAGTTTTGCTGTTCCTAAAAGAACGCAACTGGTATGACCATGATTGATGGATGACATTAGAGTTGTTTGTGCAAGTGGCCTTGAAGTGTTTTCAACTGACGTATGATTTGATGGTTGAACTGGGTGTCTATTTTGATGCAACAGTGTATTATGTCTTCTTTGGCATATAGTACAACCCCTGCTGGAGCATTGTAATGCCATATGACCAGGTTTCATGCAGTTTGTGCACAATTTATGACGTTTTAGTAAATCGTACTTCTGTTGTATGGATTTACGTTTGAAAGTTTCGCATGAAAATAATTGATGACTACTATTGCAAGTAATACATTTTGATCCTGAGTCTGTAGCTGCAAGTGCTACTGCTGGATGTCGTGGTTTGTGACTTTGTTTGTGGTTTCCATTCGTCATTGATTCGAATGCCTGAAATCTTCCTTCTAGGAACCGCAATAATTCTTTTAATGAAATTATTCTTCGGCTGTCTTCTAACGATTGCTCGAATGCTGTATGTGAAGCTTTGTCTAGCTTTCTAATAATTACGTGAACCATTATGGCGTCCCAAGATTTAACATCAATACCTTGAGCTGCTAATCCATAATAACATTCTTTTGTAACATCATGTATGCCCTTAAGACTGCTTGCTGATTCAATTGTTATATTTGGTTGTGATAACAATTTATTTAGTAATGCTGTCACCAAGAGTCGTTTGTTGTCATACCGATTTGACAGAATATCCCAAGCTATATTATAATTTTGCTCGGAAATTGGCAGATGCCGTATGAGGGCTTTCGGCTCACCCGCCAAATTTGTAGATAAATGGAACATTTTGTGGGCTGCGCTTATTGATTGATCATGGATCAATTGTTGAAACAAATCTCTAAATTCAATCCATTTCAAATAGTCTCCATCAAATGTTGGTAAAACTATTTTTGGAAGTCTGATTTGTTGAGTTGCTGCAGGCCACTCTGACGTCAATCCTTCAGTTGGTTGACTGTGTTGTTTTAAATATATTAACGCGTTTTGGGCATCTTTATCCGTTGAATAATATTGATCCCAAGTATATCCGACGATGTCTTGTGCGTCGACTGATGACCATATTTCATCATTGTTATCCCTCAGATCCTTCTGATATTTTTCTATTAGAGAATATTTCAGATCATAATAACTAGGATGATGTTTTATGGTTATTTCTTCATATATTTCATCTATGCTCGTGCGTAGTGCATGCATTAATGAGGATTGCTTCTGCATGGTTCGCATGAGCGATGTAGTATTATTTGGCCCTCTTGGGCTTACTACTGGCTTCCCGTCCTGTGGTTTCAGGAGTAGCCTTGATTTCTCCAGCTTGAATCTTTCATCATATGTGACTACTAGATTGGAGATTTTTTTGAAGTAACCTGTACTGAAATACTCGTGTTCGAGTTCAGGTTGTGGCAATGCTTTGATTTCAGCATCATTTATTTCAAAATCATTCCATAGGGAATGTAGCTTCTTGAGTCGTTCTTCATAATATGTAGTATCCTGCTTGCGGGTACTAGAATCCTTTTTGAAATTGGTTATCAGTCGCTCAATCTCTGTACCGAGCTCTGACTGCTTCTTTAATAACGCATCCATGGCGATGTATGAATTTTCGGTCCGAAAATTCCGATGAATAAATACTTCAGCTGGTTAATGAGTAGACCTTTTGATTATGTCCTTTTTGTAGACAGTTGACTCCTTCGAAGTGTTCTTCGTCAGGATAATGAAATGAAAATTGATATTATATCAATAATCACGTCGGGGTCACCAAAAAATGTACGCTACTTGATGCTAACCCAGATCCTTAATCTGTGTTAGCTTGGTAGCCAATTTTTATGTGTAATGTAGTTTGAGCACTTGTAACCCAAACTACTTGTATTTTCTATTTTGATTAGTTTGAGCACTTGAAACCCAAACTAACCGATGCGAGAAAGTAAGAAAGTTATAATTGATTTTTCTTTTCCTTCTGAACTTTATTAAAATTATTTCTTATATTTATACAAAATTATTTAATTAACAAGCTATTAAATTATGCATTAATTGACAATAAATATTAATGCATAATTCACAAATAAATAAATTTGCCTACGCTGTGCTGACATAATTATAGGCCAACATATTACACACTTTCTTCAGTGCATTGACCAACAAGAAACGCTGATAATGCAAAATTGCACTTTTCGTTGGTCAATGACTGGTCGCAGTGTTGGCCCAAATAATATGTAAACACATGTAACCAAATATCATAAAAAATAAAAATATAAAATAATATGAATTAAATGCAAACATAAACACGTACTATACAGGAGTTGCCAAGATGAAGAGGACGTCTCTGTCCAGGACGTCAGACAAAGCGACTTCAATGTCTCGGAGTTCGATAAGAACAAACATATACTATCGGATTTAGCAAAAGTTGCGATCTTGTGAAGACTGTGATGCATAACACAATCTCACCAATATCTTCATGGTGACATCATTTTGTAGTGTTGGCACCTTATCGAAGGCGTCTACATCTAATTCAGTAAAAAGCTATCATGGACCTGCATGTGGAGAATCTGTTAATAAGGTCACGCTTTTGATCAATTAAGTGAAATTAATCTCAGCCACAATTAATGGAGGTGGAGTCAGGTGCGCCGATAACAGCTGAGTAAGTCTTAAGTCAGTTCTGAATAAGTTCGATTAAGTTATTTTCATTAGAAGTTGGTAGTGTAATTACAAATCGAGTGTCGGCAAAGTGCATGCGAATGGGTCACGCCAATAACGTCTATAGTTAAGAAAAACGAGCCTATCCGCATCTGTGGTGATTATATCCTAGATTTGGACTCAACAAACCAGCAGTGTTGTTTTAAAATAAGCGGTTATCCTTTGTGATATCCTTCACAAAAGAAAAGGTCTATTGTCAAAACACTATTTCCACAAAATGTATATTTATATAACATATATACGGATGTATATTACACGAAGCTTATAAACCTTTATATATACGAAGAAAGTTGATAATAATTAAAATGTTGAACTCATTTAATTTTTCGACGAAATTATCATATTTTTAAATAAATTTACCAATATATCATAACTGCTGTCAGTACTTTTCTAAAACACGAAACTTGACATTTAAAAAAAAATTGTAATTTATATATTTTGTTTTTGTTTTACATTTTTTTCCCCAATTTTAAATTTACTATTACATTTTGTTTACAAAATTCATTTTTTAGTATATAATACAATTGCGATGTAAATTTTGTACAATTTGTGCCAATGAAATTTAGAATTTCTGTCAAAAAATTAAAACAGAAAAACAAAACCACACTTTTTTGTGTGCTCTTTTGTATTGCAAGTTTTCTAATATATTCCGGTCTCAAAAGTACTTTTTGTATCGGAAAAAGCTGAAAAGGTGAAAACAGTTTAATAATGTCAGCACAGAATTGTTTCATAAAAATTTATTTTTTATGACGTAATTTTTACGAACTTTACAGCTGTTTTACAGTTGTTTACAGCTGTAAATATCAAAGAAGATAAAGAAAAGAAACTGAGAGTTATAAATTATGTATAAAATTTTCTGGATTATTGAAATAATATTTTGTGTAATAAGGTGAAAATATGACGCAGTACAAAAACAAAAAGAATAATGCTACACAATGACGCGTAATAATTTTCCCCACCTGTAGCTATTTTGAGGTAACACTTTCTTAGAAATTGTTTTGTTTTGTTTTGGTTTTTTGACATTAAAAATCTGTTTCGATTAAATGCGCCATAGTTGTAATTAGGTGCACATATTACATAAACATAAAAAAAAGCGGAATTAAATTTTAATTACAAAAGCAATAAAAAAGGTTATTATTTTATAAATATATATAAATTATTAATTAAAATTTTTTTACAGATGAAAAGAAGAATTATCGAAGTTAAATTATTAACTAAGAATAATACAATTTATTGTTGTAGAAAAAAGGGAATACCTAAATATACCTTTATTAGAAATTATGATGTGTGTCAAAGAGGTATACTTATATAATAAACTACCAATTAATTTTTAATTAATTCGTTAATTATGCATGTCAGTTATTTATTGCTTTGGAAGTAGTATAATCAAGTGATTAAAATATTATTTTTAAACTTTTTTCCATGACATAATAATAATATTATATTAATATTTTCAATTATACTTCGGTTATGTGTTGTTATTGTTACACAGATATCAATAACATATAATAAAATGATTAGAATATTACTTTTAAACTTTTTCATAATATAATAATAAAATTATATTAATATTTTCAATTATACTTCGGTTATGTGTTGTTGTTGATACAAATATATATATAATTATGTTAATTATATTTTAACAAATTTCACATTTGTAAAAAATTATATATATGTTCTACGATTTTCTACATCTATATCTACATCTAATTATTATTTGCAAAAATTTTTGAATGTTAAAAAATTCTATTAATATTTATCGTTTTTAAACAGAACGATAAATATTATATTAAACATTTTAATATAATATAATCTAAAACTCGAAATATATGTACACGTACTAACTTCTCTAATAGATGCTAACTTTTGCTATAAATGTATTTTTTAAGTAGCGTAAATACATATGCGTGCAACATGATAAAAAATTATTTTATTTTAAAAAATACTGCACGATTTATATACTTCGTCAAAACAATTTTATGACTAATTAAATATATTTACATATATCAATAATAATTAAAGCACGTACAAAATCACCAAATGGAAATAATTTGAGCATATGAGATTTTGTATGCAGAAATCAATCATTTGTTTCTTATTTGTCATATTTGACCTAAATTAATCATATGTCGCCAGTGTAAACGTCATTTGAGAACCCTATCTTGTAAAAATTTGAAAGAACTGTAACGACACGGATTTGTCGTTTTAAATTTGCTGAGGTATGACTCAGTCGTGGTCCGGGTCGTTGCAATAAATTTATTCTATTGACCAGTTCGAAGCTGGTAAACCAAGGAAAGTTAAAAAGACCGTTTATTATTTTAAACAAAACTTTATTTATTAAAAGGATTTCTTTAATAATTTATTTTAATCTTGACTCTACTCGATAATTTATTTTAAGCTTGACTCTACTCAATAGTTTTTAAGCTTGACTCTACTCGATAATTTTTGCCCAAAGACGTCAGAACATCAAAGGGTTCTTCTCAAAGCTACGCAATTAGTTTTAGCCAAAGACGTCAAAACATCAATGGCGTTTATAAATCTACTCAATAATTTTTACCCAAAGACGTCAAAACATCAAAGGGTTTTTTTCAAAGCTACGCAATTAGTTCTAGCCAAAGACGTCAAAACATCAATGGCGTTTATAAAATCTACTTCTACTGATTTATTAAGCCTTAGCGTCAAAACACCATGGGCTTCTCAAAAAGAAAGACTTAGCGCTGGAGTAGAGTACTACTCGTTTCGGTGTGCCGGTGCTAAGTGATCTTTCATACAAAATCTCCGCTATTTATATGCGACACTTTGCTTTGCTTAGATGTACGCACAACCGCACAAGTGTAATTCGCTGTCAGCTTTGCTTTGCGTGTCGTGCGTGCGTGTGTTCGCTGTTGGCTTCGTTTTGCGTGTCGTGCGTGCGTGTGTTCGCTGTTGGCTTCGTTTTGCGTGTCGTGCGTGCGTGTGTTCGCTGTTGGCTTTGTAAATAATTTGTTAGTTTTGTTTTGTTTGTTTAAATAATTTTTATGCAGACGATTTTTACAACTATTGTTTTCTTTTATTCATAATAAATTCTAAAAATAACTCTAGCTTAAATATAGTCAATTCATTTCATATAAACAATTATTTTGTATAAAAATAACTTATGTCTAGCAATTCATTTCATATAAATATTAATTTTTTATAAAATAACTTATGTCTAGCGATTTATTTCATATCAACATTCATCTCGTATAAAAAATATTTATATATAAAGTAAATTTTTATTTATGCATATACATATTTTAAGGAAAATAAAATTTACTTTATATGTCCCCTCTTCTTTGGGGGTGACTGAGCCATTAGATCAGGTTGTTTGACACCATCTTCACTGCGACTTGTCCCTGACGGCTGATCCGTACTTGATATATGCTGTTATTGATGGTGCGTCGGAACTTTGTCTGCTGTCCGGGTCGGTGATATTGAAGTACTCGCTGGATCTCATTCTTCAGATCCTCTGGCCACTTTGGTTGCTCGGTTGTAATCACTACCTCGATGTTGCTAATGGCGTTATCGGGCTCTTTCGTACTGGGAACCGTGTTTTGTACCTGTCCTGCTAGAATTTGTTGCAAGACGTCGTCGATGACTGCAGGCGCTGGTGTTTCCATTCGATTAAGCAGGTCCATCAGGTTATTGTCACTGTATTGCAACTCGTCGGTTAGTGCGGCCATATCTAATTCGTTGAGCATGTTACCGGATGTCTCGGTAGGGGTCTCAGCTTCTTTTACGTTGCTTGACTTTGTTCGCCATCCGTCGGCTTTTCCTTTTTCCATGCGGTCGCTTGGTAACATCTTGGGTGTAGCGTGACTGGGCCCCTTTACTGCTTTCACACGAGGTGTTGGTTTTTTATACAAGATTATAGC